GGGTCCGCGGTGTTAAAGGGACCGTAATTGGCAGCAGGGCAGCTTGTTCAGTTTAAGAGGCCTGTAAGCTGCTCCAGCCGGTCGAAGCCAGCTCTGAGTGGCATCCATTCCCCGTCAGTGTAACCTCGGTTTAAAACAAAGCACGTGGAAATGGAATGATTGGAAGTGCCTTTCGTAACGCCTGGGCAGGGCGTCGGTTGAGAGGGGTTTGATGCATCTCGCTGTCTGTCTGTTTCAAATCAGTAGTTTCCGCTGCTGGGGAAAAGTGAAATGTTGTCAGCGATGAAGTTGCTGCTGAAACGGTATCCAGAAGGAGCTTAGCGTAACCCAGACGGTTTTGTATTTTCAGGGATCTAAGCAGGCATGGCGCCCAGCCGGAATGGCATGATCTTGAAGCCCCATTTCCATAAGGATTGGCAAAGACGAGTGGCCACATGGTTTAACCAGCCTGCCAGGAAGATCCGCAGGTGAGGTCCGAGAGCCCGCTGAGCTCCTGTGATTTCCAGCAAACGACAAGGGCTCTTTCGATAATACGAAGGACAAGCCCTTGGGGCTTTGTTGCTGCGGCCAGATGATGAGAATTCTCCGGAATCGCTGTACTGCATTGATGATCCTTTGAACCCATAAAACTGATGGTTGTAGCCCCCGCAAAAAAGTGGAGTGCCTTGTTTCTCCTTGTTGTGACCACCTTGCATGATTTTGCTGTAGCGTATCTTCAGAGAGGAAAAGCAGGTTTTGATGCATGCCTTTCTGTTGCTTTTTCCCTCTCAGGAGAAAAGCCCGCCAGGCAAAAGCCCGTCGTATCGCCCCACGCCCAGTATCTGGGCCAGTTAGACCAATTGTGCGGTGCCCCACTGTACGGTACCATACAAAAGTCCGTTTTGGCAGAGGATTCAGCCTGGAAGAGCTAAGGGTGAGTAAACGGGGAGGCGCGGGAGAGAAATGCCTGTAGGGGTACAGCGTAATGGGGTGTCTTGCCTGTACTTGAGAATCTGGGGTGTTCTACGCTGAGGCTTCTTTTTATATTAGAAACTCATTTGGCCAGTTTTCTTGGTAGGCCAAGGTATGTATTTTCAGAGAATTTGCTTTAGGTTCTGATAAACTAAGCAAGATCCTGCCAGTGTCTCTCTCATCTTAGTCCCAGTAAGCCATTTGCTGTCTGTGAGAGCTTTACAGTCAGATGATGACACCCCAAGATATCTGTAATCTCCGTGATGATGGTGCTTTGAACCCTTTTCCAGTTGATGACTGTCCTGCCTCCCCAGAAGGAGCAGGAGTAGCGATGCAGAGCTTACCTTTATGTGAGGCCTCTCTCGAAATAACTCCTTAGATGGCTGGTATCAACAAGAAATTTGCCCGGACAATTGGTATTGCAGTGGATCCCAGGCGCCGCAACAGGTCTACCGAAGCCTTGCAAGCTAACGTCCAACGGCTAAAGGAATATCGCTCCAAACTCATCCTCTTTCCCCGGAAGTCTTCTGCACCCAAGAAAGGAGACAGCGCAGTAAGTGCGGGGTTTGTGTCTGGAAGCCTCTTTGTCTGCAGCTTTGCTGGAGCAAAGAGTGTTGTAAAGCACGTTAAAATCTCAGCCTTGACTTTGGTAGGAGTTTGCATTTAAAATCTGGGTGTCAAACGTGCTACCTAGAATAAGAGGCGCAATAGATCTTCCCTCTGTTGGCGCTGATGGTTCTCTGCAGCTTGTTCTTCGGTTAACAGGATTGCCCATTGTTGATTCACCTCGTAATTAGTTCCTCACCCGAAAGCCTAGCGTTTGCTTGTATTGGAGCAGAAGAGGCAGCGCCAAGGTGAAATGTAAAACATGCTTTTGAAGGAAGATCTGAGTTGCCAAGCTGGAAGCTTTGAGACCCCCAAGCTCGATTCATGCACTAAGCCATAATGTGTTGGTTTACTTTTGGCTTAATTTGTTAGATGAAATTTGTTACTGTGGCTTGCTTAGTAAATAATAGTGGGGACTTACCTCAAATGGTGCTGGTCCCAAGAGGCTCCTGCACTGATGATTCCCAGCCCCTTTTCCACACGGGCTACTTTATCATTACCGGAAGCTCTTTTGAAAGCCCATATAAGCCATGGGCCAGCAGTTGGCTTCCTGCAGACGTCCTAGCAAATGCAGCACCCCTCCCCGTAAGTTGTCAGTGGGCTCCAACATTCAATATTTTTTTTAAAAATGTAAAACAGTTGCGATCTTGGGAAATAATCCAGTCTCACTTGTTTTTTGTATTTCCACCTGAGTTCTTGCAAGTTTTGGGACAATAGTGCCAAAAGCTGTGAGATTTCAAATAAGAACATGAATATTTTAAGAGATTTGACAACTACCCAAGTTTCTGGGTGTATGTTTTCTTTTAAAAAAAAAAAAACATTGTGCGCATAATAGGGACCATCTGTCGTTCCTCACCGAACTGTTTTTCTGCAGTCCAGATGAGGAATAGCATGGTCTCTTATCGTTATTCCCTTCCTTATTCCTATAGGCAGAGGAACTCAAGATGGCCACACAGCTCTCTGGACCAGTTATGCCCATCAAAACCGTGAGTGACCCTCATTCTTGCATTTGCCATATCTTTCGTCAAACACTTGGTGCTAGCCAGTAGATGTTTCCTGCTTTTAACTGAAGTTTGAAGTTTTGCTTTGGGTGTTTTTGGGGGAGGATGGGTTTTTCATGTGCTGTAGACTTATTCCTTGAAATTGCAGATAAACAGCTGAATGGACAGTCCAAGCGAACATTCTCTGGTGGCTTCTTGCCTGTTAGCGAAGCATTACAATGTGCACAGAAGCTTGGAAAGGGCAAGTTGCCAAATCATTACTTCCAGCTGTCTGTCGCACTCCTTGTGCTCCAAATCTGAACCACCAGGGAATGGGCACAGAGGGGACCTGCCCTGCTTTTGCTCCCCCTGGCCATTATTATGCTGGTGCTGAATTCAAGGGACTCAAGTTTCGCCTGTTTTTTGTTGTATTTAAACAATGAAAATTTTCTGGTGGCAGGATATGAAAGTGACAGCCTTATCATGCTTTGAAGCTGTTAACGGGCATCTCTTTCCCCTTGAATTTGTCGAATCACATTTGATAACTATAAGGCAAATATCCTCAGTGTGGCACTAAGATTCATAAGTTATGATACTTGGTGTGAAGAAACAGTTTCACTGGGTTTAATTCATTGGAAGATACATTTTCTCCACATCCTGTTTAGTTCTGTAGATATTTGCCCTGCCTTCACGCATCCTCCACCTTTCATTTTTTCCCTAAACAAGACATTTTCTACATTGATTCTCATGCTGCCATTCCAACCCTTTAATTCATTTGGTCTCCCTTCATGACTCTGATTCCTTAATTGGGATGTGATGATCAGAACTGTATGCAGCTCTGTAGTTGACAGCTGGCCAGCTTCTTTTCAGTATCTTAAACCATAATTAGAAGCACGTGGGTTGCGGAGAAAAATATTTTCTGGAGAGTTTTAGTGCTGAATACGACTGAGCCTGGAAAATCCTGCTACTAGGTACTTCTTGATGGGACCGTGAACATTCTGCTACTAGAGCCAGGCCCAGTGTCCTGGTTGAGCTGCAGTTGATAACCTGTCCAAAGCAGAAAAGAACCCTAGTATATGCTGCGTGTGACGTTGTGTTCTCCCCTTTCATAGGTATACAAAAAGGAGAAAGCCCGGGTTATCTCGGAAGAAGAGAAGAACTTCAAGGCCTTTGCCACTTTGCGCATGGCCAGGGCAAACGCTCGGCTCTTTGGCATCCGGGCTAAACGAGCCAAGGAAGCAGCAGAGCAGGACGTGGAGAAGAAGAAATAAACTCCTTGGACAGATCTGCACAATAAAAGAGGAGAGATTTGGAATGGTGTGGTGTCCTCCTGTGCTTGGATACAGCAGTGGAAAGGGGGGGATAGAAATGCTGCCTCAGAAGTGTGGTGCCCTTACCATCCTCTGCGCACTGCCTGGCAGTGTGGCACTCGCTGGCTGGGCAGGGACTGTGACAGTTCTAGCATTTGGGTCACTGGCAGTTTTGAGTTGGGTAATTGCAGGTAGTTGGGGCCCTTATCATTTGGGTGGTTGGGAACAAAATGGGACAGGTACCGCCACTGGCGTGCGTGTTGAAAGCAACACAGGAGGAAGGATGGGCTGCTGTTTGTCCAGGGTGCAGGTGGGTCACATAAGATTTTCAGTGTACTCAAGAGGAGCCTGCGAGGGATCAGAAAGGAAAAGTCATACATTATTGTTTTGGGGTGCTGTCTTCATGCTTTTCTATATAAATGTAGAAGTTTTTCCAAGTGGGACCTAGTGATGCTTCCTGGGGGAGGTGTTTCCTATCATATCTGTGTTTTGTCTTCTGAATCCAGACAGCCACAGAGGGAATGCACAGCTAGGAGTTCTGCGGTCTCTTGTCTTGTGGGTGAGTTGGGTTTTTTCTTTTCACTGTCCTGAGTGAGGTCTGCCCCCTTCACCTCTTGTGCGTTACATTGGCAGGATGGAACGGTGACCAGAGTCAGTCAGTCAGAAGCTGGGCTTAGTTGACGGTCCTGAGAAATGCCCTTGGACGCAAGGGGAGGGTCACTTGCTCAGAGCTGGGGCCTCTTGGGCAGATCTGCGCACGCATGAGCGCTCCAGTTGCTTGGTAGAAGCGGAGGTGGCGGATTGCTTAGGAAGTGTTTGGTCTTTGAAATCCTGCCAACATCTTAATCTTTCAACAATACAGGGCCCTTATTGCGGGCAGCTGATTGGGGCATATGCTGTATGGTTTTCTCTAGGTAGATCTTGACAAGGTATAAGCCAAGAGAATGACATTTATGCTTCAGATAAGTTTTGGGATGGCGAGCCAGGCTGGGACATCTGTCACCATTTAATAAGATGCTAATGTCTTTTGCCTCGGTTAGGGTTGCAGAGGCACCAGTCTCCGCACGGGGGCAGTAGCTGTCAGGCTGGAGACTTCCCCAGCAGTCACTTGGCACTCGTTCAGCTACTGGAGGAGACCCGCTACTTACAGCCCTGGAAGGGTTGTTGAAACTCCAAACCTGAGAAGCAGACCTTTGGCACTGCATTCACATTCTGAGCTCCTGTACAAATGGCCCTTCCTTGATGCATCATGCTGCATTGTTCTAGCTGCGGTTTAGCAGAGCAAATTCTACTGGAGATCCCTGGCTCAATACATGCCTCAGGATTCTGATGCAGAAAGGGTGGGGGGGGGTCTCTCCCTAACCCTGGTATTTACAGTGCAGAAATATACTAGCCTATAATGTAGCTTGGGAATTTCAAGACCTGAAAGTGGGCCATCCCTGTGTTCCACAGCAGCCTCCCCCAACTGAGTGCCCTCCCAAAAATGCCAAATTGCCATGCATTCAGAGAGCATCAAGAGACTTCCTTGCAGAGAAGTGCAAAGCAGATACCTTCCTGATTAATTTTTTAAAGCTTTCGGTGGGAAGGGGACAGCTAGTATAGAATCAGTGTCAACAGGCAGATGGCAGAGCAGGTCAGATCGATCTGCCCAGCCACCTGAACTTGGCATACGTTCCTTTGCACGCATCCCTTTTTCTGTGCAGTTTACTGGCTAGACCCCTTTGTGCTAGAAGCAACAACTTTGGTGGAGAATCCTTGGACAAGAGAGCTCTTCAGACTTGGGCAATGCGTGTCAGCAGCAGGCCTTGCAAAGCAATTGGCGCTGGAGGCTGTGTTCCCAAGCCTTCCCCAGGAAGCAGCCAGTGCTGCCAACTGTTCTCATTAGAGACAGGACATTCTACTTCCTCTGAGATCTGCCGCACGCGCGCTCTTAATGGGCTCTGACAAAGTAGCCAGGTTTCCATGCACCAGCTGCTCAGGCTGTCAGCACAGATGGGAAAGTGGCTACTCCAGTTACACCTTCCTGGCTTGTGAGAGCTGCAAACCTTCAAATATGTGCAAACTGACTTCTCAGCCCAGTGCGCCTGCTAGGAAGGTGACCCTGATAGGCAAAGGCTTTCCGCTCGGAAGACGTTGGGCGGTGCCTCGTTTGAGCGGGAGCATGAAAGGTGCTGGACGGGTGGAGGCTTCCTCTGGCAGTGGTCACTGTCCTCCCCTGATCAGTTTTGTTCAGTAATCCCAGTTCTAGAATTGGGGGGAAAGTGTCCCTTCTAAACTAAGGTCCTCAACTGCCCCTGTTTGTTCTAAGGGAGCTGCTCCAGCTCCTTGGTTCCGTTCTGTTCTCAGCCTCCTTTTCTGGCTCTGCTTTCTGAGACGTGGCAATCAGAGCTGCCTGCAGGATTCCTTATAGGAGAGCCATGTTAGTCTCTGGATTTCGGGTGGCTTCTTTTCCAACCAACCAATGTGATTAAAAGGCAGGAGCTGCAACTCACGAAAGCTGCTACCTTTTAATCAGATTGTTTAGTCAGAAAAGGAGCTGTCAGACTCCTGAAGTTTTGCAGAATTCCTGTAATTGCCTTCAGTGAAGATACGTCACCGGAGTAATTTAGCAATATGTAGGAGTCCTGCTGAAATAGGCCAACCTTTCTAGTGGTGCTCAAGGCACATAAGCTGGAGGAGGAGGAGGAGGATGGACGGGGGGGGGGTGGCAAAGCTACAGCCAGCGTAGCTCGTGGATCGGTCAGGGCTCAGATTCCTTGGCAGCATCCCAGTGGAAGTGTCTTGGCTGTCAGGAGAAAATCACAGAAAGACTTCTAGTACAATACAGAGTCGGAGGATTGGAGTGGACTCTAAGCCCTGCCAATCAATACGACAAAGCAAAGCTGGTTCGGGAAGTATATCCTGCCCCCGGCAGAGTGCAAGAGAGAAGCTTATCTACAGGGGGCTGAGGTGGGAAAGGGTCTACGCCCAGTACCCAAGGAGGATGGGCTGGGCAGAAGGAGAAAGAACATGTCTTCTGAGATGTAGGCCTGAAGCTGGACTTGGGCCTTGAGTTCATGGGTGATTCTACGTGACGTCATGTTCCCGGCCTCGCCTCGTCTGAAAGCGGGTAAGGGTGATGGCCGACCTCACAGGGACCCTGCAGGGATAAGAGAGCAAAATGTCATCCAGGAGAGGCCAAGACTGGGCTCTCTTCAGCCAATGGGCTCTTGGGCCATCGTGGGCATGTTGATACTTTCACTGTCTGCCTGCATCTGCTGGGACCCTGCGCGGGGGGGGGGGGGGGGGGCC